TGTGGCAGTGTTGGAAACTGATTGAGTCATGGGGGCGGAGCCTTCATGAATGGATTAATGCTCTCCCTGGGGGAGGGGGAGTAATGAGTGAGTTCTCGCTCTATTAGTTCCCGTGAGAGCTGACTGTTTAAAGAACCCTGGCACCTTCTCTCTCTCTCTTGCTTCCTCTTGCCATGTGATCTGTTTGTACCTGCCAGCTGCCTGCCACTTTCTGCCATGAGTAGAAGCAGCCTGAGGCCCGTGCCAGATGCAGTTGTCCCAGAATTGTAAGCTGAATAAACCTCTTTTCCTTATAGATTACCCAGTCTCAGGTAGTTCTGTTATAGCAACAAAAACCGGACTAAAACAAGGGGTAAGGTGCCCTCTCCTCACTCTCCTTTCCTTAGTCTAGTTCTCAGAAGTTAATCGCATAAACTCATTCACACTTCCATTTAATATGACCAAGAAGCTTCACAATAAAATCACTTCCAGTTCCTTTTTAATAGGGTCTCAAAGATTTAAATGAAGGGAAAGAAATTTCAGTTGTGGAATTCCCAGCAAGTCCAAGCTGTTTGCTGGGGTAAGTCTTTGAGGGGCAGGATACATTCTTGGTGTCCCCCAAATTACACCACTTGACCAGCCCTCTTTTTATCCAACACCTAATACCCTCAAGCTGTCTCCTCTGCTAGCCCAGAGCACAGGATCCCCTGGATCTGTGCCAGCACCCACTGCCATCTGGTCTCCTTTGGAAAGGCAAAAGAGAGACATCTCTTATTTACTCAGAAATAATTCACTGTAATAGTCACACAGAAGGTGGCTCCAACTCAGTACATGCAATGAGGGCACACCACACCCTCACCTCTGCCCTCACCAGGGCTTACTCCTTGGGACACATCAACAGATTTTATGTGGATGATAGGACAGAGCCACTTAAACAACAAATCAGTTACCGATGGTGTTTTGACACTTGTGGGATCCACTGCAATGAACACCTAGAAGTAAAGAACAAAGGTTTTTAATCCTCCCCTTGAGCCAATTTGTATCTTTCCCACGTATGTTGTTGTGGCATCTCTCTATATATAGAACCTAGTATTCTTTTTTTTTTTCCTTTTTTGTCTTTTTTCGTGTCCGGCAACGGATCGCAACCCTCAGTGTCGCGCCCGTACCGGACCGGGACCAGCAACGGGATCGCAACCCTCGGTGTTGCTCCCACACCTCGCTCAGCCAGTGAGCGGGAACCGGTCTGTATGTGGGATCCGAACCCTCGGCGGGAGCACCACCGCGCTCCCAAGCGGCACACTGTAGCAGTGCGCCACCGGGCCGGCCCGAACCTAGTATTCTATAAACAGGATGCTCTGGCTAAACACATCACAACAAGCAAAACTGTAAGGTAGAGAAAGATGGCATCTCCCCAGGTTCCCTTCTTTACCCCACCCTCCTTTCCTAAAACTCACCAGAGATAGAGAAGCTCTGTGAAAACAGCATAGACTTTGGAGTTGGATAGACCTGAGGAGAAATAAATCCTAGCTCAGCCTTTTACTAGTTGTGTGACCTTGGGCAAAGTTACATAACTTCTTTGACTTTCAGCTTGCCTGTGTGCAAAATGGGGATGATTCTTTTTTGGTTCGTATTATAATTAAATAAGAAAATATAGAAAAAACGTTTAATACATGCCTTGCTCTCAATGGATGTGACTTTCTGTTCTTCCCCATCTAGTTCATCATTCACCTGGTACCCTCAAGCTATCCTCTGGCCTTCCAAAGCCAAGGTGTGTGCCCCACACAAACCTTCCCTTCCTTTCCTATACCCTATCAAAGTTCCCATCCCTTAAAATAACTGATCTAAACACACTGTTAAAGTAATTCTGATGAAATGAATTCAAGGAAAACATGAACAATATTGCTGGGTATCCTATATTAACTCTGTGGGGGTGTTTCTTTAAAAAAGGAGCCTGGATGACCATTTTTCCTCTACTGTTCATATTGTTTATTAGATGAAACTTTTATTCCTGTGAGTGGTTTGTTTTTTTTTTTTTTTTGTCTTTTTGTCTTTTTTCCGTGTCCGGCAACGGATCGCAACCCTCAGTGTTGCCCCCGTACCGGACCGGGGACCGGCGACGGGATCGCAAGCCTCGGCGTTGCTCCCGCGCCTTGCTCAGCCAGTGAGCGGGAGCCGGTCTGTACGTGGGATCCGAACCCTTGGATGGGAGCGCTGCCGCGCTTCCCAAGCGGCGCACTATCCAGTGCGCCACCGGGCCGGCCCGAGTGGTTTGTTTATACCTTGTTATTCTTCAGAATTTCTTATAAGTTTACATAACATCTTTATATAGTTTTTACAGTATGCTGTTTTATTATAACTGATGTGAATTATTTTTTGTATACTTAGGGCTTTTTAAAAACATTTGTTATAGTTTTAAACTTTTTACATTTCCAGATTTATCTACTTTTGTGATTTACTATGTCCATCTTTTTTAATCAAGTTGAGTCAAGTTGGGAGTTTATTTTGGTAAACGGATTAAGAATCTCACTTGATTTTTTTTTTTCTAAATGGCTACCCAGTAGTCCAACTAAAGAATCCTTTCTCAGATATTTGCCTTATCATACATATCTATCTAAATCTAGTACACATTTATCAAAACATCACATTGTACCCCACATACATAATTACTTGTCAATTAAAAGTTAAATTTAAAAAAAAAAGGAGCCAGGAAATTCAAATTAAAGGTTTAATGAGGCTGTCCTAGAAGACAGGCGACCAGAGTTTCCCTGTGAGCACAGACTCTATTACTCTCTGTGCTGAAGATGAGAAATCAATCAAGCTACGAAATGTCAGCTCAGATTACTGAAAATCACACCTCAAATCAACAGGTCCAGAATAGAACTTAGGAGCCTTAGCTACCTCTCCTGCACTAGCCAGCACACACCACTTCCTTAGCCAGGAAGTTATGGTGATACTTTTTTCCTAGGAGGTTTCCAACACTATTTTAAACTCTTTGGAATCAAGCAACAGGATTTGACTATGGTCACTGCCTTGGAACAGTCTGTGGGAGGCGTAGGGCCCACTTCCATCACCACACCTTTCTTCTCTGAATGGTTTCAACAAGGCCCAGATTAATAAAGGAGGCAGAATGGTCCTGCAGCCAGTGGGACTTCTCTCTCAGTGACTCAGGAAGGAGGACCACAGAGAAATTTCTAGGCTTTCCACATACAGGATCCCAAAAGTAGATTATTATGGCTAAAATAAGCCTAAGTGTAATCACCTGCCACAATTTGCTATGCTGCCTATAAATCACAATTCAGCATGGGAATTCTCATTATGAGGTACTCTTTAGCAGTGTGTACATTCTGCTTGACTTTCCTGGTAGGCCCCCCAGGGTGCTAGGCACACTAGCCCAAGCTGGGATCACAGGAGCCAGACACCTGTGGTGGGGGACACAGGGAGGTGGGGGGTGACAGGTGGAAAAGGCTGGCTAGCAGCTTCAGTAGGTAGTGCAAAGAGGAACTGAAGGTGAAGTTTAGGGGAAGGAAGGGACTGGTCCAAGCAGGATTACCCAATAGCATGTGTTTAGGGAACTGGCTAAGCAGACAACAATAAAAAATAATTTAAATTATTTTATATTTATCAAAGTAGTCACTATTGTAAAAATAAGAATTTTGCTGCATTTTCCTTAAATGTTGCTAAAATTTCTTTCTACTTATTTTTCATAGATACTGTTTTTTGTTTTTTTTTTTTTTTTCCTTTTTGTCTTTTTTCGTGTCCGGCAATGGATCGCAACCCTCAGTGTCGCACCCGTACCGGGCCGGGAGGATCGCAACCCTCGGTGTTGTGCCCGCACCTCGCTCAGCCAGTTAGCGGGAACCAGTCTGTATGTGGGATCCGAACCCTCGGTGGGAGCGCCACCGCACTCCCAAGCGGCGCACTGTAGCAGTGCGCCACTGGGCCGGCATAGATACTGTTTTTGAAATACACACTAAGGGCTGAAAGTATGAGGGACACCATAACCTTTCTATTGCTTGGGACTCTATTTAAAGTTCTTAATCTGGTCCTTGGCTTCAAGAAGAAGAAAAGGAAACAAAGAGTTTGCAGCTTCAAGGTCAATACTCATTTCTTCATTCAAACTTTTTTATTCCAATTTATTTTTTATTGAAGCATAATTGACTATACATATTTGTGGGGTACAAAGTTGACTATCAATAGTTGTGTACAATGTGTGATGGTCAAATCAGGATAGTTAGCTTCTTCATAATTACAATACGTAATCATTCTTTGTGTCCATTAACCAATTTCTCATTAACCCCGCTTTTTCTCCCCTTTTCACATCTAGTAACCACAGTTCTATTCTCTCCTTCTAAAAGTTCAACGTATTATTATGATTGTTGTTTCTTTCTCTCTCTTTTTCTTTATTGTTTATTCAACAAACATTTCTTGAGGGGCCAGTAAGTGCCAGGCCTTTGCTCAGTCCTGGGATACAGCAACAAACAAAGTAGATGTGGTTCCTATGTTCCTGGAGCTCACAGTCTAGTGAGAGTAGTTAAAAATAAGAGTCAGAGCCAGAGCCAAAGCCAAAGGTCTATACTGGAAAACAGGCAAGATTCAACCACCAGCAAGGGATGCCAGCAGAAGCAGCCATTGGCAGGCAAAGAGCTGTTCAGGGAGATGAGTTGGTGGGATGATATTCTCATCCCCTCACTCCCTTTGGCAAGTATATTGGTCCATTTGAGTTGCTATAACAGAAATACCTGAGACTAGGTAATTTATAAAGAAGAGAGGTTTATATGGCTTACGATTCTGGGACAGCTGCATCTGGCATGGGCCTCAGGCTGCTTCTACTCATGGCGGAAAGTGGCAGGCAGCTGGCGGGCACAAGCAGATCACATAGTGAAAGGAAGCAAGAGAGAACAAGGAGGTGCCAGGGTCCTTTAAGCAACAAGCTCTCGTGGGAACTAATAGAACAAGAACTCACTTATTAATCCCCTCTCCCCCAAGGAGAGCATTAATCCATTCATGAGGGATCTGCCCCCATGACTCAATCAGTTTCCAACACCGCCTCACTGGGGATCAGATTTCCACATGAGATTTGGGGGGACAACACATTGAAACTCCATCAGCAAGGGAGAGAGCCACTGTGGTGGGTTGAGTTCATCAATAACATGACAACTGGTACCCTCAAAGCCAGTGCTGCCATGACACCACCCCTTCTCTGCTCACAGCTATAAACTGTGGGCTATGTGTGAGATCCTGAAAGCCCCAAAGAAAAACACAAAACTTGAGTTGTCTACTGACAGGAATTCTAGAAAGTACAGAAGACCAGAAGTAGAAAGCATAAAAACAACTGCCAGAGGAAGCTGGACAATCCTCCCACCTTGTCACCACACTTCTCTGATATTGCATGGCAAAGAAAAATAAAAAAGGAGTAGGAAAGGAAAAATAAAGAGGGGTTGGGGGAAATTGGAGAAGCAACCAGGTGAAACAGTCAGGCTACAGCCAGTAGCCTCCTGAGAAGAGTGCCTGCTTTGCGGTGTGAAGTGGGCAAGGATGGAGGAAAGGCTACAGCCTGCTGTTAGAAAAAGGAGCATTCCAGCAGCTCAGCTCCCACACTGCCAGAAGCTGATGGCCATGGTGAAGGTGGACAGCCAACAACTTCAACAGCAAGAGATACAGAGTCAGTGCGTAGCCAGAAGAGCAGTGGCCTGCAGAGATCTCAAAAAGTATTTGACCGCTCTAGGCCTCAGTTTCCTTTATCTGAAAACAGAGATGAAGATAAGAGAGTGTATTAGTTTCCTAGGGCTGTCATAACAAATTACTACAAACTGGGTGGCTTAAAACAACAGAATTTTATTCACAGCTCTGGAGGCTAGAAGTCTGAAATCAATGTGTCAGCAGGACCATGCTCCCTTTGAAGGCTCTGGGGAAGAATCATTCCTTGACTTTTCTAGCTTCTGGTGGTTGCTGGCAATTCTTAGAGTGCTAGAGACATTCTTTAGCATGTGGTAGCATAAATCCAATTTCTGCCTCCATCACCACATGGGCATCTTTCCTCTATGTGTGTCTCTTTCTCCTACTCGCCACTAGATTAGGACCTGCCAACAGGACTTCATCTTAACTTGATTGTATCTGCAAAGGCCCTATTTCTTTCTTTTTTTTTTTTTTTTTTTTAAAGATGACCGGTAAAGGGATCTCAACCCTTGGCTTGGTGTTGTCAGCACCACTCTCAGCCAGTGAGCAAACCGGCCATCCCTATATAGGATCTGAACCCGTGGCCTTGGTGTTATCAGCACCACACCCTACCAAGTGAGCCACGGGCCGGCCTCAAAGACCCTATTTCTAAATAAGATCACATTCATAAGTTCTGGGTGAACATGAACTTGGGAGAGATTATTCAACCCAGTACATAACACCTACTCAATAAGGCGCTGTTTATATGTTAGGTGCTTAGGACTATGCCTGGCACATAATGTGTGCTATGTAAAGGTTAGCTACCCTTCATCATCTTTGGCAGGTAGCAATTGCCAATGAAATATTGGGTGCTCTGGGCCGGCCCGGTGGCGCACTGCTATAGTGCGCCGCTTGGGAAGCGCGGTGGCGCTCCCGCCGAGGGTTCAGATCCCACATACAGGCCGGCCACTCACTGGCTGAGC